GCAACGGGCATAATGGATAAAATACAAATAAGTGCATTATTTAAATACCGGGGTATCGTTTATTTAAACCGATTTTTTGCGGTAGCTTTAAACAAAATTGAAAAACCCCAATTCGCAAATGTAATTAACAATTAAAAAGCTTGCGGGAAATACCGTTATTAAATAAAAAAATTACAAATTGTTCGAAACGTTTTAAATTTGTTAAAATTTGGTAAAAAATAATTTTTTCGAATTAACACCCAAATGGATAAAAATAACATTGCTTTTTAACCGGTTTCGCCCCAAAATCCAAAAACGGGTAATATTTAAAAACTTTTTTTAAATTATGGAAAAATTGCAAATTAAAGCTTTTAAAGCAAAAATAATATTGGAACCGCATAAAAGGATACCGGGGAATACCGGTGCTTTAACCGTTAAAAAGCTAATTATTTGCTTTAAATACGGGCAATTAAACCATATCGTTGCAATATACAAAATACGAACGGATAACCCGAATACCCCGTTAATTTTAGCAACCATACAAAAAGCGAAAAGGAAAAAGCCCGAAATACGGTATTACGGGTGTAAAAAGCTAGGTTATATTTAGCTAGCGTGCTTTAAAAAAAGCAAAATATTATTACCCAATTTAATACCGTTATTTAACCGTTTAAATACCAAAGTTTAAAAATGCGCCCCGGCGGTTAAAACGCGCTAAAAAACCGAAATGTATTTACGAATTAACGGTTACCGGGTAAAGGTAAAAGGGCTGGTTAATAATAAAAGCAACGTTAATTTATTGCACAACCGTTTTTTAATAATAGCAAAAAAAATACCGGTGCTAAACGGGGGTTATTTAGCGTAATTTAATACCAAAAAACGCATGCTTACGCTAAAGGTAAAAAAATATAAAATTTGGGTAACGGATAATTAAAAAATAACCCGAAAATTAATAGTATTTTACGTAATGGTACCCCGGGCCGGGTATAACATTACGTTAAGCATGCTTTAACTTTAGCAAAAAAACATTAAAATCCGGTTTAAAAATATAAAGTAAAGGTTTTTGGTAACCATTAAAAAGGTTAAAATAATTTCGTTAAAAATAGCTAAAAAGTTAATTTAATTGGAATAAGCAATAACCGTATTAACGGTTGCATGCTCGAAAACCCCGAAAAACCCCGGGAAAGGGCTAAAAGCTTTCCCGAAATGGGTTAAAAAAAATGGTTGCAAAATATGCGCAACTTTATAAATTAAACCATTTGCTAAAATATACAAATTGGAATTACGCAATTAAATTGGAAAAAAAACGATACCGTTTTATAAAACCATTTATTTTTTATCCAAAAAAAATTAAAAACTTTCCGGGGGTATTTTAATAAAACCATAGCAAAAAGTTAAATCCGGCATTTAACCAATTTCGCCGGCGCCGGAATTTTATTCGTTTTAAAAAAGGACGGAAAGCTTTGCTTTTGTATTAATTATCGGGGTTTTAACAAAATTACCAAAAAAAACCGGCTAACATTTCCGCTAATTTACAAAATATTTAACCGGGTATTTAAAAACCAATATTTTACTAAATTAAATTTAAAAAATGCTTATTACAAAATACAAATCCAATAAAAAACAAATAAAAAATTGCTTTTTGTTGCAAATATAAACATTACGAATATTTAATAATGCCATTTAGTTTGGCCAACGTACCAATAACGTTCCAAAGCTTTATTAATATAACATTTGGGAAATTAATTAATAACATTTGCATTATATATTTAAATAATATTTTTATTTTTTCCAAAATACGGGAAAAGCACCATAAAGCAATAAAAACGGTATTAAAGCAATTCGAAAAGTACAAATTTTACGTTAACCCGGCCAAATGCAAATTCGAAACGAATAGCATCGATTTTTTGGGTTTTAAAATAACCAAATTTAAAATTAAAATTTTGCCGGATAAAATTGTTACAATTTAAAAATGGAAAATACCGAAAAGCATTAAAAACGTGCAAATATTTTTAAACTTTACGGGGTATTACCGGAAATTTGTAAAAGGTTACGCGAAAATTACTACGCTTTTAACAAACCATTTTAAAAAGGATATAACGTTTTATTTAAAAAGCATTGCAAAAAAAGCTTTTTGCAAGCTAAAATTATTATTTATATAAACCTTAATGCTAATACATTTTAACTTATTAAAACCGCTATGCGTAAGGATTAATATTTCGGCTTTTGCAATAAAAGCAATATTGTTACAATTGCAAAACGGCCATTAGCATTTGGTAATTTATTTATCGAAAAAGCTGCGGCAAAAAAAGCTGCGTTACGCAATTTTCAATTTGGAATTGCTAGCAATCGTAAAAGCTTTCGAAAAGTAACGGCATTATTTAACTTATTTACAAAAAATTATTAAAATAATTACCAACCATTTAAACCATATTTATATTTTAACAAAAAAAAATTAATAAAGCGCCAAGCAAAATGGTTTAAAAATTTAGCAAAATATAATTTTACAATTAAATGGAAATTAAAATACCGGAATTTTGCAAATAACTTGTTAAAACGTTTTTAAAATATGCTTGTAAACGGAAAAGCTAATATAGCAAAAAAAAAATTCCAAAGCAATTTATTAGCTAAATTTCAAAAAATAGCTTACGTAAAAACAACCACCATTAAAAAAAATACTAAAACGATATTAAAACGCATTTTCGAAGCATAAATAAAAAACAATTTCGTTTAAAGCGGTATTTGGAAAATTAAATTTAACGTTTAAAAAATTAACAACGGTTTGCTTAAATATAAAAAAAAAGTTTGGGTTCCAAATTTATCGCTATTGCAACAAACAATGCTTTGGAAATAATATAATAACTTAACGGGGGGTTACAAAAATATAGCTAAAATTTTAAAAAAGTTTAAACGGCAATTTAAATAGCTGGGTATGGTTAAAAACGTGCGCAAATACGTGCAAACGTATTAAATATGCTAATAAATAAAGTTAAAAATACAAGCACTTTACGGGTTGCTAGCATTTTTGCTCGTACCAAACCGCCCGAAACAAAAGTTATCGATAAATTTTATTGGAAATTTTTAACGTTAATAAATAAAACTAGCAAAAAACGCAATGCAATATTAATAATGGTTAACCAATTTATTAAATATAGCTTTTTGTTGCAGGCAGAAGGGATAAGCACGGTGTGAGGCTATTCCGGTTGATATGCTTTAAAGAGGAAAGGATTTAAAGTGCAGGGTCCCGTAGGGGCCTCTGCCTTTTATATACACGTGACTCCCTGTCCTCCTTGCTTACTAAGCTTCCTTCTTAACGCCTGGAAGCGTCATACGCTTCCAGGCAGGGGGACCGCTCTTCCGATGCCTCAAGCATCTAATATTTATGCCTAAAGCTTCCTCACGACAGTATATACTATCTACTTTGTAACACTTTTTTATTCCAACATTTACAAAATTAACCAATAAAAATTAAAAACTTTTTATTTATATACGTTTAAAAGCTTTTGGAAACGCTTAAAAAAATTATATTAAACTAAAACAAATTATTTACAAACGGGTTTTAAATAACCTTTGCCGAACATTTAAAGGTTGCAAAAAAATTATTAATAGCATATTACTTTTAAACCGATAAGCAAACGGAACGGACAAACCAAATAATAAAGCATTACTTCCGGTGCTTTTATTGCAAAAAGCAAAACGATTAAGCGTTGCTATTGCATTTAGCAACGTAAATGCATAATACGAACGTACATTTAAGGTTGCAAAAAACCCCGGCGTTTTTATTAATAAAATTTTACTTATAAAAGCTTTATAACTTTTGGGTAATTAAAAAAAAACCTTTAGCAACGGCTAAAATTAAAACAAAAGCTTTGGAAGCAATTAAAAAGCAAGCCAAAAAATTGCTAAAAAAAGCAAATAATACGTACAAAAAGTAATATAATAAAAGTAAAACCCCGGTACCTTTTGGGGTAAGCAATTAAGTATTGCTAAATACGGCAAATATTAAAATAAAAAAGCCATCGAAAAAATTGTCGAACAAATGGTTAAAACCTTTTTAAATCCTAAAAATGGTTGGGTTGGCCAAGTTAACGTTCCGGTTAAAACTTTTTGTAAGCTACCGGATATATAACGTATTTCCGGCAAATTTATTGCAAACGTTTAGGAAAAAACCCGGCAAAAAGCTAAAAAATAAAAAACTAAAAATCGAAACGGAAAAAAAAACCGTTTCGAAGTAAAGGCTTTGCTAAAATACAAAAGGTTTTTGCAAAAGCGAAAATACTTTATTAAATGGATAAGCTATAACGAATCGGAAAATTTGTAAATTTTTAAAAAAAATATTACGAAAAAAATTGTTTAAGCATATAAAGCAAGCTTATTGGAAATAAGCTTATAAAACAAAAAAAATACCGAATTTTAACGGGTAAATACCCGGAAAAAACGGGGGTATTATAAAAAAAAAATAACAAAGGCCAAAAAAATGGCCCAAAAAAATGTTTTAAACGTGTTAAACCGGTTAACCACCGGGGAAAAACGTAAAAAAACCCGTAAACGGCTTGTAATAACCGTAAAATATCGTGCTTTATAAACAAAAAGTTAAATAAAAACGGTATAATATAAAAAACGCCCCAAATTAATAATGCAATATATTTAAATCCCAAAAAACATGCAAAATGTAATACATTTTAAAAAGCCCGTAAAAAGCATGCTTAGCGCAATACGTTAAAGTAATTACCGCATTTTAAACGTACGTTGTAATAAAATACCATTGCTTGCCCGAAAAGGAAATGGGAAAATTTCCAAATGGTATAACAAACGGGTTTAAACGTTTGGGTAGCGGCAAATGCATATTAACAATATTTAAACCCATTAAAAAGCAAAAAAAAAGCATTTTAAAATTATTTATTAAAGCATTAAAGCTTACTTAGTAATTAAAAATATTGGAATTTCGCAATGTTATAAAAGCAATATAACAAAAAAATTATAATTTTAATTGTAACAAATTAACGAAAAAATTTTAAAATTAATTACTTTTTAAAAAAAGGATACCAATAGTTAATTAAAAAAAATATATAAAAAAATCGATTAAATACCGTATTTAAAAAAATTAAAATTTCCGGAAATTACGTTTTTTTTGCCGGCGTTAAAATCGTTGCCGCTAAAATTGTTAGCGTTAAAAGCAGCACTTTCCGGCGTTAATACAAACGCCGCACTTTTACGGGAAACCGCGCGGTTATAAGCTTAAATATCCAAATGCGCCGTAATTGTAACAAAGTTAACGGCAATATTATTAAAAAAAATAACTATACTTTTTTCGAAACGCTTAAAAAAAGCAACCATTGTTGGAACTTACCTGTTAAGCGCATGCACAGGCTCTGGAGGATCGCCATGCACAAATCCGGGATTTGTGCACCGGCCATCCAAAGCTCCTTTGTACCTATATAAGGAGGTCGGATCCGTCCCTTTCTTTCACCAAAATTCCTTCCACTTCAAACTTAAATAACAACAGTTTGACTTAATTACCTTTTAATAATTATCAAACCTTAGTTTTACGCCGTTTGGAGCTTTACGAGCATAAAATTCCACCCCAAAGTCCTTTTTACACTAATTAATGTTGCAAAAAGCAATACAAAAAAGCAAGGAAAAGGGTCCTTTAGTTAATTAAAGTTAAGTAAAAGATTTAGGAGCTAAAAACTGTCGGTTTAACGCTTGGCAACGCATTTTTCATTTGCTTTCGGCCATTAAAATCGAAAAAGCCTTAAAAGGGGGCGCTGTGCAATCCCCCAAGCTAATACTTTAACCCGGTTTAAATAGCTAAAACGAATTGCTTTAAGTAATACCGCTTACCATTTTTTTTATTATTTTACCATGGAAAAAGGAAAATCTTTCGCTTACGCAATTTTTAATAAACAGGATTAAACCCCGATAAATACAAAAATGTTTCGTAAAAAACAAGCACTTTATGCAAAAAAAGTTATCGATATTTTAAGCCTTTTTTTAAACTTTTTATCGATCCTTTATTTCCTTTTCCTTAATTATTTTAACCACAAAATTGTTAAGCACCTAACAAGCGTTTCCGCAATCGGCAAAAATACATGGATTATTAAATGGATATATAACAATCGGAAAAAGTTAAATTCCGACGATACGTTAACCGATTTCAAAAAAAACTTTAATAGCTAAATTAAAGCAAATTTTAACGCAATAAATCCAACGATCCAACGATTTTTGCAAAACCATTTCCAAAAGCAAAGGATCCACCTTTCCATTCCTAATTTAAAAATATTAAGCGAAAAATTGGCGGAAATTTTTAACTGGTTACAAACCCTTATTGTAAAACCAAGCCTTACGTTAAGCTTAGCGTTACGATTAACCAAAAGCAAAAGCAAAAAGCCCATAAAGCTGCCATTTCCGAACCTTATGCTCCCCCGTTAACCACTTTTTAAAACGTTCCTTTAACCAAACAATACAACGCAAAAAGCGGTAAAAAACGAACAATTACCGAAAGCACAATTTAAAACGCAAAAAAGCTAAAAAAACAAATTTTCCAATAATTTTTACAAAAGCATTAAGCAAAATAAAATTACCTTTTCGCTTTAACCTTCGAATTATATCGTTTTAAAAACAATAAAAACCGTAATATACCTTTGCGAAAAAGCGTAAAAGCACAATTCCACCCCAATTTTTCTAATTACCCTAATTTATACAATTATAGCCAAAATACCCGCTACAAGCAAAAAAACAAAAGCACGAAAATTTCGTAATTAACGTTTTAAAGCGCAAACGCGCAAAAAAAAAAAAAAACCAAGCGCACGAAATATAAAACCCCCCTTTCCATTTCCGTTACCCTTTAAACCGCCTTTTCGAAAACCGCCCTTTCGAAAACCGTTACCAAACCTTTTTAGCTATGCCCACCATTCGTTACATAACCAACCCCTTTACATTTTATTTCGTTATTTTTATACCAAAAAGCTTAATTATCGTTAAATCCTTTTACGGGAAATAATTAATACACCAATTAACGCAATTACTATACGTACCTTTAAAACCATTTAAAACGATACATATTCGTATACGGGAAAATCGTATAACATTATCGACAATAAGCTTTTCCATTTTACAATCCACGCTTAAATGCTCGAAATAAATTATTTATAACTTTACGCGCTATATCCTTACATTTTAAAAAGCAAAGCAAACGAATATTACGTTAATTACATCGGCTTTATATTTACTTTCCAAACCATTTATTTTGCATTTAAAAATTACTTTAAAATAAGGATTGTGCAAGCTTAATATTGGATAAATTAAATAACAATCCATTTTTATACCGTCCGTTTAAAGCTTGCAAGCACCGGAAAAACGAATATCGAAATTTTACAAAAACTTTTCGACAAATTGCAACGATATTACCAAACGCTAAGCTTAAGCTTTAGCAATAAACAACAATTCGTAATAAATACAGCAAAGGCAATTTAAAAAGTTCCCAAATTCGAAATGGCGTTATTTAACCATTTCGATACTTTTAAAAGCTTTTCCAACGTATTTCGCAATATTATAAAAATTAAAAACAATAACAGGATTCCGGCACAACATTATACAAAACGAAAGTATAAAAGCAAAAATCGACGAAATTAATAAAAACAAGGATGGAAGCAAAAACGAGCTTACAACCTATATGCTAAACGAAGTTATTAAATTTGCAAAAAGCCCGATTGCTAATTAACAAAGCATCCAAAAAAAAAGCAAAAAAAGCACAAAAAGCGCTAGCGTTAAAAACAAAAAAATAAAGGCAAAACCCCAATTAGTTATCGGAAATTCCTTTCGATTACTAAACCAAATAATTTAAAAAGCAAAAACGCATTGGAAAAGGATAACGAAAAGCTAATTAATAATTACAATTACGAAAATAACCAAAAGGAATATACAATAACGTACTTTATATAAAATATAGCATTGTACCTTATAAACGAATTATAAAAGCACCGTTTGTTTGCAAAAAACGCTTAAAAAGCACAAAAAGCCAGGATTAAAGCTTCCATTTACAAAATGCTTATTTACAATAACATCGGTAGCAATATACAATAGCACGGCATTTTGCTAAATACCGGCGCGGCAGCCAATTTAACGGCCGGAATTAACTAAATTTAAACATTGCAATAGTATATAAAAAAGCTTAAAATCGATTACAAAGCACCCAAGCATTTTGTAGCTTTTGGAGCAGGAAATACCGAATTTAGCATTAGCGCAATTATTATACCAACCTTTATTAATAACATTACGTTTTACGTTTTTAACAGCCCAATACCATTCCTTTTGTTATTTAAAAATATAAACGCGTTAAGTATATACCTTAACAATACGCGCAACGAATTCGTAAAGCACAACGAAACGCGCGTGCGGATTATTAAACGCTTCGGTTACCCATGGTTTTTTTTTAACGCATCGATATACGTTATAAACAAAATTTTAATAACCGCCGAAAAAAAAATCGCGAAATTTTTATTTTTAATAAAAACCGAGCTACGGCGCGTTTACAAACAATTTAGCTACCTTTCCGTCGATAAATTACATAAAACCTTTTAACGGGCAAACTACAATACAAATTGCAACGCGTTGGAAATAATTAATAAAGTATGCTACAAATGCTAAATTAAAGGAAATGCATTACAACGATTTAAATTTACGTTAAAAAACGATAAGGATTTTAATTACGAAATCGTTATTAACGTTTATTATTTAAGCAGCAAACCGGTTTTTTATATAATTAACAAAAGCATAAAATTTAATATTGCAGCGATTTTAAAAAATTTATTTGCAAAAAAAACCTGGAAAACTTTAAAACGTTATTGGATAAATGTTTATTTAAAGCCCTTAAACGTAATTACCCATAACGCAAGCATTTATTTTTCGAAAAGCGGCTTTTAAGCTAAAGCAAAGCTTTTCGGAATTACTTGCAAGCAAATTCCCGTTAAAGCCCATTACGCCGTTGGAAAAGTCGAACAAACGCATAGCATATTACGCAAAACGCATTTAATTATAAAAATTAAATGCCCCAATTTTGCGCCAAAATTATAGCTTTAAAAAATTATAAAAGCAATTAATAATACCGCGGGACCGAACGGTTTGGTTTTAACGCTATTCGTTTTTAAAGCTATGCTACGGATAAACCACGAATTACCACTGTTATTAACCATAACCAAACGCGCGCAAGCAATTAAAAAAGCTATAGCAAAGCTTCGAAAAGCAATTGCTAAAAAAAAAGTTGCAAATGCCGTTAATACCCGGAATAGCCTTAATATAAATACCGTTAAACCAAATTCCTTTGCTTTTAAAACAAAAGTTTTAATGTTCCGGAAAAAAAAAGGATAAACGGGCCCGCATAAAGTAGCAACGGTAACAAATAACAACGTTATAATCGAAACCGTTAACGGTTTGGTAACGTTTAAAAACATTTTTGTTAAACTTTATTATCGAGTTAAAAAATAGCCAAACAACGAATTAAAAAAGCAATAAATCGAAATTTCGGAACCATTTGTTTACTTTAAACCGGTATAACCAAAATAACGCAAACGTCCACCAAAAAATAAAATACCGGCACAATTACGAAATTAACCAAAACCGCCAATACTAAATGCAAAAAGCAATAAGCCCCCAAAGCCAAAGGAGCGATTAAAAATTAAGCTATATAATAAAACGTACTTATTACCAAAAAAGGCAAAGGCTATGCGTTTATCGATCGAATACAAAGCAAAAAGCTTAATTAAAGCTTTAAAACTTCCGTTTTGGAAAGCCAATTGGAACGAAATAACGTTTTTATTTAACGCCGGAATAATCGTAGCAATTCGTAAAGGCCAATTTCCAAGCGCTAAAATTTTTGGAGCACGTTTTGTTAAAAAAATAAAAAAATACCGGAAACCCTTTACGAAAAAACGAAATGCGTAGCTTAAAGTATTAATAACAACAAAAAAAAAACCATTTTAACGCAAGCTTTTACAATTATGCGTTGCAGCTAACGATTAATCTTTGCGCTTGCATTAAACTTTTAAAACCAAAGCATTTTATTAATAACCCGGAACATTACCCAAACGTACACCCAAAGCGCAACCAATTTCGAAAAAACCGTTTTGTTGCGCTTATTTAAAAAATTACGCTTACGTTTTCCTTTTAGCATTTTACTTCGAATCGTTAAACCTTTATACGGTTTAGCAAAATTAAAATTGCATTGGTACGCTACGTATTAAAAACATTACAAAAAACGGCTAAATTGCGAATCGTTGTATTACGATTCGTATTTTTTCATTACGAAACGCAATATAAGCTTTGGAATGGTAAAAATGCAAATAAACGATACGCTAAATTTGGGAAATTAAACATTTATGGATTTCGAAAAAAAAGCGCTTTAAAAAGCAAAATTTAAAGCAAAACCACGTTTAATGCTTACGGAAAAAAAACAAAGCGATTTTAACGATAAAAAAATTATAATCGAAAAAGGCCGAATTAAGCTAAAGCAAAAAAACCAAAGCGAAAAACTAAAGCTTGTAAACGCTAATTTAAAAAACCACAAGCAACAATTCGTATTTTAAAGGGTTTGTAAAGCATACATTAGCTTTATATGCTAGCTTAAAACAATTTTTAATTACGTTTTAGCCGTACAAAAAACAAACCCGATACAAAAAAATATCGACAAATTTAACAAAAAAATTGGTTGGCAAATTAAAAACGCTAACAAAGGCTTAAACAACGTTTTTATCGATTTCGAAAGCGCAAACCTTTACATTTTTGTAAATGGATCCTTTGCAAACAATAACGATATGTTTTTGCAAATCGGGTTTATTTTTATGTTAAGC